TCGGATCACGTCTTCTAATTTGAGACACCTATGGCGTCAGAATGGTTTATCCCTGAATCTGAAGGGACGTGTGTACCAAGCTACAGAGCGGGCTGTGAGACTTGGCCTATTCGAACGGCGGAACTGAGATGTCTTCAGGTGTTCGACAGTCTTTGTCTCAGCAAGATAGCTCGTGTGGGTTGGTGTCGGCGACTCCGTAACGAGGCGGTTAGAAAGCGCGTTTTCGGTTGTACGACGGGTACTTCCATTGAAGAATCTGTCCAGCACCAGAAGCTGCGTTGGTTGGGACATGTGTTGCGTATGCTGAACCATCATTTGCCGAAGAGAGTGCTGCTTTCCATGCCCAACTCAGAGTAACGTAAACAGAGAGGTGGTCAACCCTAGACTTGACAGAGGATTATGAAGGAGATTACGAGGCAGTTAGGTGCTGTGAGTGCTACTCGCCTTCCAGGATGGGGAACGCCTGATCCTCACTGCACCTGGTTGGAGATGCTGCAAGATATGGCTTCCAACCGATGTCAGCAGCGATCTTGTTGTCAGTTTCTATCCAGATTGTACGGCAGCGTAGCACCGGCGTTGAACACTGCCGTCATGCCATTGTCAATAAATGCGCGAAAATCGGCATGGTTTGGTTCATTTTTCCACCCGCTTTGACAGCTATCGATTCTTGTTCACTCTGTCCATCCCCCCTCACTAAGGATCACCTGGAGTATTCAGAAGATCGGATAAGACCTCCACTTTGCCTCTGAAGAGTTGTACCACAGTGACCATAAGCTGTCTTCACGAAATGAACTGAATACTCTTTGAACCTGAGCCAACCGAATTTATCGACTCAGTAACTACGGCCCCAAACCGAGTCATCATCATCATCATCATCATTGTCAGCTGTAAGAACCGCGTACTGGTCGTACACTGGTTGTAGATGCCACAGTTTCGTTCACCGATGATTGGGGGGTAAGTAGCTGCGCATTGCACGCGCGAGCTGGTAAATTGGTGCATAAATCCAGCACTGTCAGTG